TCCTGAAGGTATCTGCCAAGTAGCAATCCTATAGACTTGTCATTTTACTTAAATGAAGATATAATGAAGTTACAGACTAGAAATTCTGAATTTCATCTCTTAACTTGTTAATTAGGTTTTAAATCTGTGTAATCTTAATTGATAAAATTTTGTCTGAATTATATATTCAAGTCTAACCATTATTGTAAATTTTAAATTATGCCTGTATAAATACTGACATCAGTACTCACATATTTCCTAGTTTTTAATAATCCTGGTATATAAATCTCTTCCAACCTTAATAATTCTACAAAGGATGGTTTGTAAGTACTTAGAATAGGAACTTATGATCTCTAGGAGTCAATTTGGGATGGGTGACAACATTACACCATTGTGGTGGAGGGTGTTAACATTGCTAGTTTTAGTAACCATGGAAATGTAATAAAAGTTGTATAACTGATCTTCAGCAAGCCCTAAAAAAATGGTCTTTTATATTTTTTAACAAGCTGAAGAAATATAGATGGCTGGATTTATAAACAAATGTTTTGCAGATGCTACTTTTAAAAGAGAAATTGCAGATATGCATTTGATGTTACACCATTCTCCTATATCTTTGCTCTTCTTATTAGATATATAGAAATCAGAACCTTGGAAGAATTATGATTATAGTAGATAGTCAAAAGTTCACAACAGACTAGAGTAACTGGGTTGATATTAGAAGACAAACTGTTATTTTGGAAAAAGTATAACTTTTATACTATACGGGATAATGAAGCCTTGACTTAGAGGTATCTGAAAAGATTTGGGAGTCATTATTAATAGCAAGTTTTCTATGTGTCAATAGAATGCTATTGACTTAAAAATCTATATTCTTGGTCTATTTAAATAAACAACTGGAATGTACTCTATGATAATTAGACAATTATCGTGTAGTATGCTAATTTTAGAACTCTGCATTGTAAAAGAGTATAGGCAATCAGAATTGTTCTGACACAAGTAAAATCACAATGACTAAGGGCTCTAAAACTGTATTGCTTGAACAATTAGCAGAATATTTAAAGGTATTTCCCCTAGAAGATTCTGGAGACCTTAACTGTTTTTAAATATGTAGAAACCTGTTGGAGGAAAGTAGTGTTAGACTTTCCATTTGGTTTAAAAAGTTTTTTTAGCAATACAAAATAAAAAGTTTTTACTTTTCCAGTAGGTGAACGATATAGAGAGATAGATTTCAGGTCGACATGAAATTTTTTTTCTCAACATCACGATTGTCCAACTGTTGAAACGGTGCCATATGAGCAATGGCAGAACATTCATGCCTCAAAAATTTAAGCTTAGCTTTCTAGTCCTTGTCAGCAATTACCCACCAATAAATTAGCAGAAAAATAGACACCAAAACTATCTCTTGGATTTTCTTGTTCATCACTTATGACTAGTCTAAAGTTTTTGTTGAGGATTTTTGTATCCACGCTCATCAGTGATACTGATCTATAGTTTTCCTGTTTTGTGATGTCCTTGTCTGGTTTTGGAATCGCTGCAATTTTTGGCTTTATAAAAAGTGTCTGAAAGTCTTCCCTCCTCTTATAGTTTTATGGAAGAATTTCAGAAGGATAGGTATTAATTTTTCTTTGAAAGTTTGGTTAAGTTCAATAGTAAAATCAGACTCGGGTTTTTCTACTAGGAGGCTTTTGATTCTTTTGATTGCTGTTTCAATTTCCTTACTTGTGAGGGTTTTGTTCTCGGTTTCTATTTCTTCCTGATTCATTCTTGGAATGCTGTATGTTTCTAAGAATTGATCCATTTCTTGTAGGGTGTCCAAATGGTTGTTATATAACAGTTCATAGCACTCTCTTATGATACTTCGTATTTCTGTCATATCTGTTGTCAACTCTCTTTCATTTGTGATTTTATTTGTGTTTTCTTTCTCTTCTTTATGAATCTGGCTGAAGGTTTGTCTCTTTTGTTAATCTTTTTAAAGAACCAATGCTTGGTTTTGTTAATCTTTTGAATTGCCTTTTGATCTCTATTTAACTTCTCCCCTAATTTTTATTATTTCTTCTGTCTACTGATTTTTGGTTTTGTTTTTTCTCCTTTTTCTTGTTCCTACAAATGAGAGCTTAGATTTTTAATTTGATTTTTCTTCTTTCCTGATGTATTCCTGCATTGCTACAAAACTTCCCTTTTGGTACTGCGTTAGCTGCATACTGTAGGTTCTGATAAGTTTTGTCTTCATTTTCATCATCTGTGAAAATTATTTCACCCTTGATTTCCTCATTGACCCAATAGTTTTTCAGTATATATTTTTCACTCTCCAGAAATTTGTAGTTTTCCCTCTTTCTCCCTTTGCATTATTTCTAGTTTTATACCATTGTGGTCTGAAAAAAATATTGATATAATTTCAGTCTTCATACATTTATTGAGATTTATTTTGTGAGCCGACATATGGTCTACCCTTGAAAATTTCGGTGAGCTCTTGGAAGCAATGTGTATTGTGGTGTTTGGGGGTGGAATTTTCTGTAAATACTAAGTCCAGCTTGTCTGATTGTCAGTTAAGATCATTGTTTCCTTGAGGATTTTTCTTTCTGGATGATTTTTCCATTGCTATAAGTATAATGTTAAAGTCCCCTGTTATTATTGTATTGATATCAATTTCTCCCTTTAAACCTGGTAATATTTGCTTATATTTTTTGATATTGTTATGTTGGGTACATAATTGATTATTGTTATTTATGATCCCTTTATCATTATACATTATATAATAGCCATCTTTGTTTCTTGCTATCTCTTTTTGGCTGAAATTCTAACTTAGATATCTAAGTACAGTGCCTCCTGCCTTTTTTAATTTTCCTTTTACTTAGAGTACAAGTTTCTGTCTCTTCATCATAAGTCTTCCTTAAGCTGCTGTGGAGTCTCTGCTGAAAGTGTGACAAAAGCCTGAATGGAATACCTTTATAAGTTATTTGCTTTTCCCCCCAGTCACTCTCAATATTTTATCTTTGTCTTGAACTCTTAATAGCTTCACCACTTAAGTGTCTGTTTGCACTTAGATAACCAGGTGTTCTGCTAGTTTCATGGACTTTTATATTCAGTTCCAGTTTTGGGGAGTTTTCCACTATTATTTCTTTGAGTAAGCTCTCTGTTCCCTTCTCTCTCTTCCCCTTCTGGAATATTCATTATCCTTACATTGCTTAGAGTTGGATAGTCCTTGCAGTATTTCTTCATTTCTTTTCTTCTTCTTTTTTTTTTTTTTTTTTTTTTTTTTTTTGTGGGACCCTCGCCAGCTGCCGGGGAACAAACCGGTGCTGCAGAGGCTGCTCAACCTCTGCGCCACCAGGGGAGGCCCAGTGTTTCTTCATTTCTAAAAATGTCTTAGTTCTCTCTCTTCTTACACCTAAATCTCATCTATCAAATGATTCTACCCGAATCATGATTCTACCCGAATGATTTGTACATTACTGTGTTAGAGTTCGCTGATTCATTCCTGTATTTTTGGTCTACTGTTTTCCAGAGCTTTTTCTAGTCCTCTTGACCCCATTTATTGAGTTCTTCACATCCTGACTGTTATTTTCTTATCTAAAGCTTCGATTTGTATCTTCTGTTAATTTTATTTCTGAGCTTATAAATTTGTTTTTCTGAGTCTCATTGTATGTCTTTGATTAGCTTTTCTGAGTTTCTTGTGTCACTTTGACTTCCCTTTCTGAATTTTCTTCTACTCTTTCAGTTTCTTTATTATAGCAGCTTTGAACGCTCTTATATTACATATAGCACGATATGAATTGTTAAGATAAAGGAAATTTTCTTGATTAAACTTTTTAATTTTCTTACATCATTGTTCATTTTTGTATAATATTTGATTTCTTCCTTCAGGTGTAGTTCCCATAAATGCCCAACTATCACATCACCTGTGAACTATCACCATATTCCTTGTATTCTTCCCCTCTGTTTTGAGTCTCCTCCCTCTCTCTCCCCTGCTGTATGCCTCAGTTCTATAGTTTGCTTGTTAGTCTTTTTTTTTAACCCTTTGTTAGCTTTCCCTATATTCCTCCTTTAAGTGAAGCCATCTGAAATTTTTCCTTTATCCTAAGATGAAGGAAATTATTGAAATTATTGACATTAAGTTTTCACAATCAAAGAATCGATTCTTATTATAGTAGCTCAATGATTTGAAATGATCTTGGAGCACCCAAGAATAAGTACAATAAAAAAGTGAGCATAAACAAAAGAAAACTCTATATCCATAAAATCAAATAAAAATTAAATCTTATTTCTCCACAGAAGGTGAAATCAATAATAAATCTTCAATATAAGCATTACAAAACTTGAGGAAAGACTTAATATATGTGTAGTTGCTATACTGATCTTGTATTCTCCAAGAAGTCAATAGTAGAATCTTGGAGCAATTACATTTGTGGTTGTTGTTTCCTTGATGCAAAAGTTGTGCTTGACAGTTTTTCTATCAGCGCTTTATTATGTCGTATATGTCGTATAATAGCCTTCTGTCCTCCTTGGTTCTCACAAGAAGTCAGCTACTGATCTTACATGTTGTTTTCGCTTGCTGTTTTATATTTTTCTTTTTGTCCTAGTCTGTAAACACTTGAGTATGATTTGTTTAGGTGTGAATTTATCCTATTTAGAATGAAACTTCTTCAATTTGTTTTCCATAAAATTAGGAAAGTTTTAGTCATTATTTCTTTATATATTTTCCCCTTCCCTTTTTGCTGGGGCTCTGCTCATTTTTGTCATTCTCTTTTCTTTCTATTCTTTAGACAGAATAATCTCTGTTTTCCTACCTTCAAGGTTGTCAAAAAGATAGGATAGAAGAAATTAGAAGCATCTTTCTTACCGCACATACTCGACTCCTACTTTAGTAAATTCCTTTAAGAAGATAAAGAATTTCCTTTTATTTATTTTAACATACCAGATAGTGATTTTATTTATAGATATAATTCAATTATATTTTATTTACAATTCTTTAAAAACACACAAAAGTAATACCTGACTTGTTTTTTTTTTTCCCCTTACAGTCCCATTATTGTGGCATTGGCCCAGAATTTAACCATGCGCTGTTCAGTTTTGGAGGTCTGAGTCCACTGATTTTGTATTACCTGACAATACATGAGGTTCCTGGTGTTTCTAAAATCCCTAGACAAACTAAGATTAAATTCACCGGAATATATAAAGAACCATATCCTTTCTTAAGCTCTACCTGAAACTGATCTGTTTCAAAAATATTCAAAACTTTTTTCTAATGTCTCAGTTTAGAAAAAAAAAGAGTAATGCATTTTTTTATATTAATTTTTTACATCATTGTTCATTTTTATTTTATTTTTTTTATGTTTTTTTTTTAATAGAGGCATGTTTTTATTTATTTATTTATTTGTTTGTTTGTTTGTTTTGTTTATACATGCACTGGGTACAGTCAGAAGCGCGGGAGGGTGAGAGAATTCACCAGAGCCAGAGCGGGGAGCAGAGCAGGCAGAAGGACCGAAGTACACTGCTGAGGGGAGCAGCGGGCGGCAGGAGAGGTCTGCGCGCCACGTGGGACCCTCCTCTGGTGGCCGGGGAGCAGCCGGGGATCGAACCGGCGCCGCTGAGGCCGCGGGCAGATTCGCAACCCAGCGCTCAACCGCTGCGCCACAGGGGAGGCCCGAGTAATGCATTTTTAACCAATACTTTTAATTAGCAGTTAATTATATTTAAAACTTTTGTGGTATGTTTGGCTAAACTATTTTCTCTTTCAGATCTAAGGCTGTAATTTTACATGTAAGAAATGTAAAACAGACATACAACTCAGGAAATTTTGGTTTTAATTCATGATTTTTTATTGTGGTGACATTGGTTTACCTAACACTACATATGATTTAGGGGTATAGGTTCATACCTATTGAGATATATATTACCACGTCACATCTACCACCAAAGCACTCATAATCCTCTACTATAGTCATATCACCCTTTTGCTTTTTAGTAAAAGACAATCTTTGCAACTTTATTGTTCAGTGTTCAGTTTCAAACATTTATCAGAACCTTGGGTCATGGAGGTTGTAGGCTTCTCCAGAAGAGAGTTTCAAACATATTTTAACCAGAGCCAGTAGGCTTCTCCAGAAGAGAGTTTCAAACGAATTTGAACTATATAATCCTTTGTTCTAAAATTGGAGCTCTTTGATGATACCAGGTGTCCAGGACATAGAGTCTCTCCACTTACATTTCTGTTTTCCTTGCATAGCCTGTCCTGGTCTTGGATGAATACCAAAAAGATACATAGTGCAGTAGTCTCCAAAGGCATCTTTATTCTTTTGTTGGTTTTTGAATATCACTACATATTGCTGTTTTCTTTGAATGGTTAAGCAGATTTATAGATTACATCATCTAATTTTAATTAAATTAGCACATAGTAGTGAACCAATAGCTATAAAAGTCTCCTGAAATGAAACTTTGCTTTGATGATAAAATTTACAATGCAGGAATAATTTTTTTTAAAAAGAGAATGACATTTCCCTTACCCCTCAAGGGAGCACCTTTTCAGCTATACTAAAATATGAAATTATTAAAGTTGATCTTACCAGTTCTGCTAAGATGTAGGACAAAAAAAAATTAAACAAATTTTTAAAAACTATTTGAAATATGGCTACATACATCATTATTATAAACTAAATCTAGCTCTAAGTGTATATAATACTCTTCAATATTAGCAAGTGACAGTATGATGCCAGGTTAGTTTGGAAGGTATTTATAAATCAACTCTCTAGACAGCAATAAAATTTCTACAATTTGTGGACAAAAATGTTTAGTAAATAAAATTTATTTTTAAAATATTTTATCTCAGTTTTGTTTTCTATTTGTTGACTATGCATCTTCTATTTTAACAGTCATAATATATTAATACAGGTTGATGTGTACATAATTTATAAATTTATTTTTCAACAAAATTTAGCATATTGTTAAAATTAGGAAAACTAGAGGACAAGGATAGAGATACAAAATTGGGAGTCATTGGTAAAAGTTAATCTTGAAGTCAACATTATGAAAAGATTTTTAAAACTTTATTGAATAGTGTGTACCAAGCATTGTTCTACATCCTTTTCACATATCAACTGACTTAATTCTCATGTGAATTTCTGAAACAGATTTCATTGTCTCTGCTTTACAGATGAGGAAAGTGAGGCACAGGAAACTTAGATAATTTGCCTTAGAACAGTAGAGTAAGTAGTAGAAGTTACCTTCAGTCTGATTTCAGAACCAATGCTCTCAACATTCTGGTACTTAACTGTTTATCAAAGAGGGATGTGTAACTCCAGAAGAAAAAAGTATATCCTACACTTTAAAGATATCATAATTATAGTTCAGGGGAAGAGTGGTACGAGACAGAAATGTCAACAAAGGACAAGAAAGAAGAATGCCTAATGTTCTTCACACTTGACGATGAATAGTTAATTGAAATTTCTGCAGTTGGACCTGCATTAAACCACTTTAGCAATTTTTCCTCCAAACATTTAAGGTTACATGACCATGCACATTCTATTTCAAAATGTTTTTATTTATTTAATAAAAGATTCTCAGAAGATCCTTTCTTAAACAAGTAGAAAAACAGCTCAAAAATTCAAATGTCATATTTAATCACTATGCAATTTTTAAATCACTCTTGTGAAACAAATTTACTTAAAAATAAATTTGACATAGTGAGCAATATCTCTTCTTTGTTCAATGTCATTTACCAAAATCACAAGAGAAAGGATCTTTTTTTTCAGTAGTTTAGGATTCCTCTGTAAACCGGAGAAGACTGAAGATGTATGTGGAGTAGGAGTATATGTAATTGTCCTTTACCATGGTGCTCATGATTCTGACAAGATTTTTAACTACATTTATAAAGAACACAATAAACTTCTTTACTAGTTGATGTACATTTTTTAGTAGAAAATGTACTTTACATTAATTGGTAAAAATTTTTGAGTATTTTTTTTTTATAATTTTTGTATGCATACAAGAACTGGGGTGTAGGCTAGAGGTGTGAAGGGTGAGAGAATTCACGAGAGACAGAGCAGGGAGCAGAACAGGCAGATCCACTGCAATGCACTGCTGAGAGGAGCAGCAGGTGAGACAGGAGAGGTCTACTGTGCTATGTGTGTCAGCTCCCTGGCCAGGGATCGAACTCATGCTGCAATGGCTGGCAATAGCTTGCTAGCACCGAGACTTTAACCTTTGTGCCACCAGGGAGGCCCTGAATGTACTTTTTAATAAATAATCTTTGAATTTATTTTTTAAAAACTTGATCACTTAGTATTAGAGTTATGAGTAAAATAGAGGGAAAAACTCTGACTTCAAGAGCTCAGAGCAGAATGTGTGTCTTTAAATAAGTGCAAAATGTATTTGGAGCTCCAAACTTTCCCTTCACACATTTGTATTTTTGTAAAGCACCTCATGTTGAGAGTAAATTAACAAAGAAATACCCAAAAGTGTAATAAATATTTTACATGTGTAACAGAAATTGTGAAGAAAAAGAAGATATCTCAGGAACAAAATGTTGGTATACTTTGTATGGGTCCTGTTAAAAGGAAAATCTATATGCTGTATCTGATTTCTAGAAAGAAACAAAATTCACATTTTGTTGAAATTTAGAAAAAAGTTGAACTCAATACAGCGTCATAATGAATGCATCGTGTTACTATAAATACATGTTCTCACCATCACACACACATACAGACTTTTAACATTTAAAAACTGTCCAAGGGTAGATTATTTAAACCCCACAATTGAAAATAACGTGGGCTATATCAACATTTATTCCAGCATAAAAATAAAAACACATAAAGAAGTCATCTGTTGTGAATTATCTGTGAATTAGGAGAAGCAGTCTTCAACAGTGAGAAAAAAAGAAGAAAAGGAAGAAACCTTGAAAATTATGGAAAGTCACTAGCTCTATACAATCTAGACATCTTCACACAGTAAGAATCCAGCAGGAAACTCTTTTAGAGTCATGTGCAACTTCTTTTCAGTTTTATTTATAAAATGACTTCCAATAATCTTTGTCATAGATTTCTTTCTCACTAATATGTGAGTAACAGCTTGTTAAGTTGTTATTAAAATAAAATAACAACTTGTTAAGTTGTTATTAAAATTGCTATCAATTGTGTTTTTCATGTCATACCAGTGAGACATCTCACTTAACATGTTCTAAGGATCTAGCACTTTTAAAAGATAAATTAGCTGAAAGACAAATATTTAAAAAAAATAACTTATAACCCAGAACCCTTCCATGTAGTTATTTTTCTACTAAAGTCAAGATAAAATACTTTTTCCCTTCAATCCTAAAATACTCAGGTGAAGTGAATAGTAGAGTCTACACTGTTAGAAAGTCTGTTCCATTATTTATGAAATTGATTGTACCCCCCAAATTTAACCCTTTCTGTCCATCAGCTTCAAAAATAGGGATATGGATGTCTCAATATTATTTGTTAAAGAGACCTTTCAGATAATAGCAACCAGATGTTCATAGCCTAGAATGGGAGGTCTCTTAAAAATACATTTTTGTTGAAAATATCCAGCTCTAAAATCCCCATGGCAGCACAGACTTTCTCCACCAAAGACTCCCTCCAAAACACAGTGGGGGACTCCATTTGTCTCAAAGTGAAAAAGCAAGGACATGATATGCTAAGGCTGAAGAAAGGAAGAGAAAGAACAGAGGAAATGAGGAAAAAGAGATGAAGATTAAAACCCTTGGTTGCAGAGAAGGAGCCTTTTTAGGAGGATGGGGGGTGGTGGAGGAAATGCACTGTATTTTGAGCCTTTTCTCCATCTGCATCAAGCAGTTGGACTGAACTAGATGGATTTCAAGCCCCTTTTAATTCTGAGATTTATGATTCTGTTTGGAGGAATTTGACTTTCCATACCATTAGTGGCTAAGAGTTAGTAAATAACTCCGTTTTTCTTTGAAATGACATTTTCATTTTGTCCACTCATTGCAGAACCGGGTTTTTCTGAGTTAACACTAAGAAAGAGAATGCATAAATACCATTCTTCCCATTTTCAGCTGTTGGCTCCCCTAAAAGACCACCAGGCTAACTAGTTGCCATAGTAAACCTAAGTTTAATAGACATAGAAAAACACCACCAGTTTAGCAGAGTTTTAGTAGTAATTTAAAATGAGTAAATTCAAGGATATTTATAGAGTTGAATAATTTTGAGGTAGT